GAGACAGAAGGTTTCACATTTTGCAGAGATGGCAAAAATATCCGCGTACCTGAAGGATCATTCTCAGGAAAAATTTATCTCAATGTGGAGAAGATGGATAGATTATATTCAGAGAAAGTATGAACTGAAAAATTATTATGTAGCTTTTGATTAACAAAAGATATTTATTAAAAATTTTGTATGTATTTTAATGTTATTTCAGAGTCATAGCAATTTTATACTAGTGTGTAGTAATATGGAGTAATTGTGAATAGATTTGGATTATTCTGTGTTTATTTCCTAGATTAGCTTTGGGAAGTCCTGGGGGGGGAGGGGGGAAAAGGGTAGGTTTGTATTATAGATTTATATGTATGATTTTTTTTTTAAGGAGGTGTCCGGTGATACCCCAACTGCACAGGACGGGATGGTTGAGAGTAGAAGGGAAGTAGGAAAGAGGGAGGAAGGAGGAGTGGTGGTAGAATGAGAGGAGGAAGGAGTGGTAAGTGGAAGAGGGTGGTGCGGGAGGGGTACACCGGACACGTCTGTGAATGTTTTGTTAAGTTTTATTCTTTTTTTGGTTGATATTGTGATAAAAGATTTATGTTTATGTTTTTTTTAAATGAAAAATAATAAAAAATTTAAATACAAAAAAAAAACAAAAAAAAAACTAAATAAACGCGAACACCAGGATAAAATTAAACTAAAAACATTTAATAAAATGCTGAGCTTTCGTCGGTCAGCACTACCGACATCATCAGAGCTTAAAAATAGGTCGATGGGAGTCTCTTTATATACCACTGGCCGGTTTTTGCGCACGGCTCCTGGACCTAGTCATCGGTCCATCCAGTGATCCTAATTGTTTAATTTCTGGGAAACGCGCATTGGCTGTTTTTTGGGTGTTTTTCAAGGTTGCTACTCCGTTGTTCACTTCCCTTCCTCCAATCTCCCCCTTTATGCATATACCGTTGTCTATTATCCCACCACTGGCTCCCAAAACTACCGTTTTCTTTCCCCCTTTTTTTGGGCCATTCGCTTCCTTCGTATGTGTCCAGTTGTTTGCCTCCACCCTATTGAGTCTTGGGCTTGCTGTTTTCTCCCCCTTCTTTTCAGTCATCTTTCTCATGTCTCCATAACCATACGTTGTGTCCTCATTGCTTTCTATGGTCACTATTCTCTCCTCAGGGCCAACTGTATCTCAAGAAAGAGGCTGTTTCATAGGGCAGGCAGTTCATTACTGGCAATTACTGTTTGACTTATATACCACTTCATAGTGCTTTACAGCCCTCTCTAAGTGGTTTACAGAGTCAGCATATTGCCTCCCCCCAACTGGGTCCTCATTTTACCAACCTCAGAAGGATGTAAGGCTGAGTCATCCTTGCACTGCTCAGGATCGAACTCCTGGAGTGAGCAATGAGTTGGCCTGCAGTGCTGCATTCTGACCACTGTGCCACCACAACTCTGGATCATACTGATATGGGACTAATGCTCCCTTTGACTTTCCTCAATGATGAATTTCCTTGAATGGGAACTCCATCTGAAGAAAGGATATCTGAATTTGGAAGGGAAAAACCAAAACAAAGAGAGAAACAAACCAAATAAAAATGACAGAAGGGAAGGAATTGAGGAAGCCTGGAGTCCTCTGAAAATGTTTATCAGCACAATTTGGGAAGGGTGAAGCCCCTCCGTCTTGCTTGCATGATTAATACGAACCCTTGTTACAATTTCTAAGCAATGTTAGACTGGCTTTGTTCCATGAGTAGAGAGTGAATGTCTACACTGATGCAAGAGAGAAACTGCTACCATTACTTTTGCCATC